TTTACTGAGTTTAAAAACACATCACATTGGTCAAGTGCCTCTCGCTGGCAGTGTCAGATCATTAAGGTGCTGATACTGCCCCAAATGTTCTGTCCCTGTCAAACTACACTCTGGGAGCTCCTCAAATCCATTTTAACCAACTAGCAAAAAAAAAAAAAAAAAAAAAACCAAAACAGTAGAGATTTCTAATCGGAACCACAAATAAACCTCAGATAGTGCTCAAAATTGGGGCACAGCATGAGGAGGGTGCCCCCTTTTCCCACTTCCATGCTCCACCTCTGGCATCTGCTGCTCCCAGCCCCCCTGCCCAGCCAGCCCTAATTAAGCCTGCAGCCCACACCCCCAGATTTAGCTCTGCCCCATTTAACCTTCTGCTGTGAGCCTTTTCCATCATAAAAGTCTTTGAAAACATTTTCAATGGCTGCATTATAGTCCACCGTATGGCTGTGGCATAATGTAACCGCTCCCACATCGCAGGACATTTGAGCTTGTCTTGCAGCCAAATTAGGAGGCAATGAAGCTGCCATGGGACATCTCTGCAGCCTCAGTGCCGCTGGCCTTTCCGGAGAGAAAGTGCTTGGCACTTCGGTCAGAAAAGTACAGCCAGATATCCTCAAACTCACCTCTCTGCACGTCCAGGAGAGGACGGAGAAAACCGTTCCTGCCAACAGGTCCCTGACCTCCACAGGCCGGGGTTGGCTGAAACGCCATCTGATCTCACATCCACCAGATCTCAACACTGGAGGCGGAATTCACTTCTTTCACTCACTAAACAGTTGGAAAAGACGACTGATCACCAGGATGCAGACGTGTGAAGAACGTGGACCAGGCCTGGGCATGGCCGAGCCAATGCCTCCAAGCTGGCCCTCTAGGAGAGTGGTTCTCGATGGAGGGCTCCGCAGGGGACCCCAGCGATGTCTGGAGACAGTCACAGCTAAGTGGGGGGCTCTACTGGCACGCAGCGGGCAGAGCCCAGAGATGCTGCTAAGCATCCTATGATGTACCAACAAATTTCCAAACAACTACCCGACCTGCAATGTCGACAGTGGCAAGGGTGAGAAGTCCTGCCCTAGAGTGAGGTCAGGGTCCCAGGCCAAGCTTCCACTGGGACCACCCAAAAGGCTTGAGTCCAAGTCATACCAATAACCACAGGGCAGGACGAGGGAGAAGGGATGAAAGACATTGTGGGAATCAAAGGCTCACTCTGCTGGGTAGATGGTGGTTTTACTTGGAAGCATCCTTGCCCTTCCTGGAATCCCCCAATTCCAGAACCAGGACACAGGTCGACTTCGGTCGCAGTTTTGCCAAGGCATCTCTGGGGATGGCCCTGAGGACTGCCGCCTCCCAAAGAGATCCACAGAGACCACCCTCCACCCCAGAGCATCCTACCCACAGCCATGAAGCCCCACCCCAGTCGTAGCGTCCCTGTCCCCTGCCACACAGTCAGTAGCTCCCTCTTATCCACCGAAAAACATCTGGACTTTTGAGGCAGGCATCCAAGGCTCATTGCAGTCCCTTCCCTACTTTCACAGGGGACCACAGAGCTCTGCACTCCCGACAAGCTGGCTGCCTCCCCGTCACCTCGCCCCTACTCAACCATTGCCCAGTTTTGGGACGCACTCCTCACATCCCTCATCCTCCAGATCTAACCCTTCCAAAAAGTTGCAGCCCTCCTCCTTCAACCTCCCTCCAAGTCTCCTTCATCCCCACCAGGCACTGACCTTCCTCTGCCATGGGTCACAGTCACCCAGTTCCTGTCCTGGCCCCAGGAGTGAGCTCCACCTCACGAGGAGGGTGACACTCCCCGTAAGTGTCAGCATATGTGTTTGGCCCTGTTCCACTGAGTGTGTCCTGCCAAGACCCGCTTTCAACCTGAAAGTTGGAAATAGTGACTCTGCTCCTCACAGCTGCAAAACTCTGTGGATCTAAACAATGAGACTCAAGGAAGCAGCCGCCGTCCCAGCCCCATCCGACAATACAGGGGAGGCCGGGATAGGAGCCAGGCTGACAGCACAGACTCCTATGCCTGTAGGACAAAGGCCACTCGCTGAGAACCTTGGATGCCCCGGCATCCTTGTTCTGACCTGAACAACTCGCAGCATCACTGGCCAGAGCCGAACAAGTAACGGGTCCTTGAAGTGCATCTCGAGGGGAGACGTACAAAGCTCTAAGATGTACAGGGGCATAAGATACTAAGAGCAAGCAGGCATCTTTCCTCACATGCTCCAATGTGAGACTGCAGGAGCCTGGATTTGTGCCTGTAAATATGAAGAAAGGCTGGAAATAGGAGTTGAAGAGCTTAAAATCTTCAGGTTTTGTATCTATAACCACAAGGCAGAATTCTCTGGGCCCTGATGGGCTGCCCCAGGGGAGGTGCCCCCCTACCCCAGGCCAAAATACTGAGGCATCGACCAGGGATGCTGTTTTGAAGCCAACCTCCCTTAAAGAGGAGTCACAGGAGTCCCTGGTTTCCCTCTTACTTGTAGCCAGCAGGGGCATAAAATTAACTCCACCTTTGCCAAGGGCAGCCTGGCAAAGTTTACTCTCATGACAAGGACATACAGCCTTTGACCCCAGCACCTCCTATAAGTTTTATCTGGCAGATCCGCCAAGACAAAACAACCCACCTACAAGGATAGTCATTGCAGCCTTGTTTGTAAAAGCAAAAGACTGGAAACAACCTAAATGCTTAACAGCAGGGGATTGGTTAAATAAATTATAGGACATCCGTGTAAGGGAATAAAAGAGTGGGAAAGCGCTTTCTGTGCCAGTCTGGAGCAACCTCCGAGATAGACTGTTGCAGGAAAGGCATGAGGGGCAGGGTAGTGTGTGTGGCTCGTTACCATCTGTGGGGTTTGAAAGGCATCATGACTCTGTAAAGGAATAACCGCTTGAATATTCATAGACTCTCTGAGAGTGGACTCGGGAGGTCTGGCCCATCAGCTGCGTCCAAGGAGGGACACCGAGCTGACGACACACAGGGGAGAAAGGAAGGCTTGCCTTTCGACACCCTTTGGGTATCTCTTTACTGTGTTCCGTGTGAGGCTATTATCCATTGAAAATAACTTAAAGGACCAAAGTCGCACTCCCTTTCCTCTTGTTTCTTCTGTCTCCTGTCTCCCCCTCGGCCACTCAGCCGGCTGTCCCCTTCCCCATCCCCGCTGATGTCACACAGAGAGGCAGCAGCATAAAAAGCACGGGTGTGTGGTGTCAAGAGTGGCATGGAAAGCCAGCGGCTCCGTGCCCAAGCGTGAGAGCTCTCACTCCCGCAAACCTGCACAGGCCCTGCTGCAGGAAGGGGCCCGACCATCCCCCCTCACGGAGCGCTGGGAGGATCAGAGCCCACCACGGGAGGGACGGCAGCCGCTGCCCAGCGTCCAGCACGCAGGCGGACACCTCCACGTCATGGCCCGAGGAGACCAGCCTTCAGCAGGTCCAGACCAGCTGAGTTCCTCTGACTGCAGCGGGAGGCTCTCCAGGGAGCCGCCCTGAACTGCAGGTGTAAAGGAAGCCCAGACAGGGCGGCTTGCTTCCCTGCGTGTGTGAGCAGGTGTCCCAGCCGCCTCTACCGGGCTCTGCCCCCACTAGGGGGAGAGGGGAGGAAGGGGGTCCTGGGGCCGGATGTCCGTGAATCAACAGTCTTCTCGGCTTCCAGCATTGTGTCTTGTAAGCCCTGACGCCCAAAACATCCTTGGCAGTGGCTTCGGAAGTGCTGGAGATGTAAGAGCCACTTCAAAGGCTGCGCTTGCAAGAGGAAAGCACGTATGAAAAAGGCTTTGTCTGCTCCCTCCTCCAAGGGAAGCATCTCAGGGGGGTCGAGAACACAGAGCAGACGGAGGGCAGGGGCGGTGAGACAGAGGGTGGGCTCCTTCGTGTCCAAACACACCTGCTTTCACTGAAGCCCACGTCCTGCACCCTTCAAACCACCAGCAGGCTACAGAGCGAGGCAGAGTTCAAATCCTGGCTCTCCCCATTCCTGGCTGTGTGATCTCAGGCAGAACTCTCAAGTTCTCTCTGCCTGTTTCCTCACCTGCAAAATGCAGTCAAATCATAACACCCACCCCATACGATTGTCAAGAGGATTAAGTGGGATTAACACCTGTGAAGTTGGACTAGAATCTGGCGTGGAATAAACGATCGGTACCTGTTAGCAGCTGTTGATAACCAAACCACCACCACCACCATCATCATCATCACCGCCAAAGCCCTTCTCTCTCCTAGCCCCACTCTGTTATGCTGCCAGTATCACAGTCCCATCAAGGCTACTGAACCCCAGCACGTAGCAGCAGCCCCAAACCCCAGCCTACTGCCACCCAGGGCCATTCCTAGGGCCATAGCATCCAGCCCAATCTGGAGATGGCAGGACTCCAGCCCCAGACCTCGATGCTCTTCAGCAGCCTGCTGGTCCCGCCAGCCTCCCTTCACACCCTGCCTGGGTCCTGCCTGGATCCTGCCTTTGACAAGCCTTGTCTGGCCTTGACCAACTTTTCCCACCCTAGAGCCGACAGGCGATGCAGGGACAATGGCCTTTGGTGCCCAGCCTGGACTCCGCACAGTCACACTCCACTCCTCGGCCCAGGCTGAACCAAAGGTACATGTGTGACTTCAGCCCCCAGAGTCGGATTCACAGCCCAATGCTGTCGCACAAAGAACAGAAAATCCATCAGCATGCCCCAAGTCCCCAGCCAGCATCTTCTTGCTTCCAAACCAAGTCAATTTAATATCTGACACTTGCGCCCAGAGCTCACATCAGGAAAGGCACAATTCTTTCAGCTTTACCACCTTCGCTGACAATTCCTGACCCAGCCTTGGATCACCGAGTTAGTGGGCTCCGTGCCGGCACCCTCTGAGACTCGGCTGCATCTCCTGCGGCGCTCCCACCCCGCCCTCCTCACCTCCCACCCAGGCTCGGAGAACAGATACCTGCAGCCCCCTCTCTGAGACCGCCACGCACGCTGGAAGGTTAAAGGACATGGCTATGATGCCACAATCGCTCTTACTTTCTGGGAACAGAATCCCGAGCACGTCTCCACCGTCATGTTGGCCTGTACCAGGGAGTCACGGAAGGCGTGCGTGACATTCTCCGGCAGCCGGAAGCAGCCCCGGTATGTGACGGTCCTCCCTGTGGGGAAGGAAACAGGGTTTTGGTTGAGAAACAGTGTCCACCATTCTCTGCGCCTGTCCCGAGGGGAGACGGTGGCTTCAGGTCCTGAAATAGATGGAAATAGACTCAAGAGGGGGCGGATTTCCAATCAGAGAGAGCAAACTGCCTGGAGAGGCTGTGGTCAAGCCAAGCTCCTGAGAGAAATCAGGCACCAGGCCCTTGGTCACCCAGGGGCACTGACAAGGGGCCGCTTGGCTGGGACTGAGCTCATGCCTTGCTTCTCCCGTCAGCCCTCAGGGAACAGTGTCCATCCTCCTTTCCATCCCTTCCTTCCACGAATCCAGATTGTGTATCCATCATGTGCTGCACTAGGGGACCCGAGAGACCATGATATTCTGGAAAGTTCTGCCCAAGCATGCTGGAAAAGAGACGTGGATTCTGAAATCTGAAATCCCGCCACCTTCCCTCTTGCTGTGCTGTCGAGTCACACCGCAACTGCTCTCTCTCTGATCTTGAACTCTCACCAATTTCTAGGAATACTCCTCACCCTTGTGGTACCAAGGAAGCCTCCTGCCAAACTGTTCTTCAGCCTTCTGGTGGAAAAGTCCAGCCCTCTAGTTGGCTTCCTTGGTGCTGAACAAACCTTCTGGAATGTTCTGACACCAACTGCTCCTATCTCTTCCAGACTCATCCAAGTTTCTCTAGCTGGCATCCTGATTCACATCCCATTCTCCTTCTAACACATGTCCCGGGATTCTTGGCCTGCCACACGTCTGGGCCAGCAGCAGAAACCCGCTCGCCAGTCAGCACCATGGCAGGAGGGCTCTCTGCCTGCAAAACTGCCAAGCAGGAGCAACCTCCGGGTCTGGAAACCCATCCAATCGACCATGGCACCAGTGGTCTGGGTGTCAGGGAATGGACCTATTAGGACAGATAAAGGAAAGCAGCCTGGTGCTGGGAAAACAGTCCAGGCCGGGTATCCTAATGGCCCAGCACAGAGTATCTGTTCTGTTAAAGGTCTCATTAGTGAATCCATAAAGAGTGTGTTGTCAGAGTCTCTACCCCTGTCCCCATTCCCCCATGTGGAGCCCTTGTTCCCAAACACATCTTGTCTGAATACAGGAAGCACTTAGGCAGCCTAGCTGCTCGGGTCTGAGCACCAAGACACCTTTCTCATCACCCTGACCCTATAGACAGTGGCCAGGGTTGGCTTTGAAACTCACCCCTGCTTCTCACAGCTGGGCTTCCGTTCTGCTTGGCAAACTCATTCATCCCTAGGAAAGCTCTCCCAGAAACCCCTCTGCAGTCTTAGCTTCTGACCTGACACCTCTTTCTCTGAGCTCTGCCCAGTTCTCAAACTAAGCCATCAGCTCTCCTGAAGCCCTGGTCCATGGCCAGAGGCAGCTGAGTTCATGAGCTGATGGACCTGGGTGCTGGGCTGTCCCTCCATCATCTGCCATCCTACCCTTGCCAGTGGTGGGGAGCGGTCTCCCACATCCTGACTTTTCCCAGCCTGGCCCCTCTCAGTCAGGAAGAGGGTGGTCCCCAATGTGTGCAAATGTACACAGCCATATTATTCTATAAAGGGAGAATTTCATAATTACATAAAGTGGATCTGGGTCTTGTTATCTTGCAAGAGGACAAATCTGAGTTTCCCATGCATTGAGCTGGGCCCCCTCAGTTGTCATCTCAATTTGATAGCATGCTCAGCTGAAATTCTGGGAGGTTCCATCTTGCTGTCTGACACATCAGCTGACTCTCCCTCATGGTTGATTATTTCCTTCTGAGTTCTGTAATTGTGAATTACAAACTCATCTTCAGTGAAAATTTATCTGTGGGAACTCTTTATACCTGGGTTGGCGGCTGAGAGAGATTTTGTATTTGCCTCTATTAGTACTCCAGACAGCCCAGAGCCTATTTTCTCTTCCTTTCTTCCTTTCTTCCTTCCTTTGTTTTCTTTCTTTCTTTCTTTTTCTTTCTTTCTTTCCTCCTTTCTTTCTTTCTCTTTCTTTCCTTCCTTCCTTCCTCTCTTTCTCTCTCTCTCTCTTTCTTTCTGTTTTTTAAATGGAGATCCTGGGGCTAGAACCCAGGATTGAACCTAGTGCTCTATCACTGAGCTATTACCCTCCTCCCCAGAGCAGATTTTCATCTTGGCACTTTCAGGATTGGGCACGTAGCATAAATCTGAACCTCAACACTCATATAAATGCAGGCCTGCAATGATAAATTCCCAGGTTATAAATTCTTAGGAAATCTTTTTTTCACCTGAAGTTCAGGTCAGAACAGACAAGTTTTTCTATCTCCCTGAACTGGTAGGTGGTATTTTTTTTTAATTCTAAAATTTCACTGATTTATACTTCAGTGAAACTGGATTCATCTTTGCGTAGAGGTTGCCATCCAACTTCCCAGCCTGACAGGCTCAAAGCCTCCTTTTCTGTCCTGCTTGGACACTGAAACCTAAGCCATGTGGCCAGCAAGAGCAGCAGCTTCCCCCTGAGGAGACCCTGAGCTGTAGAGCATCTTCTCTGACCCTCATCTCTTCATTTATTGCTTCCTTCCTGGAGCCAGAGATTTCCTTACTTTCTTGTTAGTTCAGCTCTGCATTTAAAACAACATTTGTTCAACTTGACCCAGCATTTCTGGCTGCTTTATGGCTAGGAAACTTTCAGACTAGCTGGTCTGTCCCATTGCCAGAAATTATAGTCTGCCTCTGTACTTTACAAAATAGACTGGAACCCAGAGAGGGGAAGCAAGCTGCCAGAGGCCACACAGCATGTCTGACACACACTGAGACCTAGACCCTGGGCCCCCGATTAGTTTCTCTCTCCTGCAGAGGACAAAGAAAGATGTGCCTCAGCTGTGAACTCAAGCAACCTTTAGTGGATCCTAACCCTCCTCCTGCCTTGCCACGAGCCTGCCCGGTGAATGTGATGAGAAAGGGAGGGCACAAGGTCTGTCCTGCGTAGGCTGGATGAGGGGATGCAGATGTGGGGACAGACAGAGCTCAGGGAGAGGCTGGCACACTCACGCTTCCTGGAGCCGGGCTGCAGCTCCTCCACACGGTACACAGAGAGCCGGCCGGCACCCCCGCACACCGAGCGCTTCTCTCCTTTGCACTCATGGTTACACTCCTCTGGCCCGACACTCACTGCTGGGAGCCGGTTCCCGCAGTAGCACTCGGCCCCTGCCTCCAAGCCCGCGTAGATGTAGGACCTGCAGGAAGAGCGGGGCCTGGGGTGAGTCCCGACCTTGGCCCAGAGTCCTGAGGTCTGGATCAATGAATGGCAGCTGGGCCCAGGGCCAGGATAAGTCTGAATCCCTAGGAGAAGTAGAACCCCAGGTCTTCTAACACTGAGCCCAGGGCTCTTCCCATAAGCCCCTGCTGGATCATCAATAAACTTTATTCTTTCCAGACAACTGGGATCTGACCCACTGAGCTCTAATGAAACTACGACAGCAATCTGTCAGCCCAAGAATCACCCCGGGGGGTATCACTCCCACTTCCTGGGGCTGTATCTTCACCTTATTTCCAGTGGAGTCGCTGTTCAGGGCCCCAGACTTACCGCTCAGCGCATGCATCCTGGCAGTGGGAGATGGTCATCTTTCTCAAGTCAAAAAATACAGCCCCTTTCAGAGTTCTCTCCTGGCCATCGTCACTGAAGCATCCCATGTATGTGCCTGCCGGCAGGGAAACACAGCAGACACTTAGAGGTCCTGGAGAGAGGGAGGGCCCAAATCGTGGGTCCACTCTCAGCACTGCCCCTCCTGGCTAAGGCACTTGTCGGAGGAGCCCTGGGGATGAGGCTGTGGTCTAACCGTCCCTGTGGTGCTTCTGGACACTTCCACCTTGTTCTCTCCTGCCCCTTTTCTTAATGGCCCACTGTCCCCCTAGACACACAGCTGGGAGCCTGGCCTGAGCCAAAATCCCACTTTCTTCCACCAACCTCAATGCATCAAGTCTGCCTGGTTTAATTGCTTCCCTTGGACACCCTCCTCTCCATCCCCTCTCTTTCTCGGCTCTGCCTCCACAAATGTCCCGATAGGCAGGTTCTGTTACCTCCTTGTGATCCAGAGGGAATAAATTCGTTATGGGAAGTCTGATCTTACCCAATCCAAAGATCTGGCAAACAGAGAGATTATTTTTTTCCAGAAAAAAATCTACCATCCCAGGAGGGAGGAAGCCCCCCCTCGCTGGCGGTGTATAAGCGGCATCTGTTAACATGTAGGAGAGCTGTCCCACGTGGGAATCATTAGGACCAAGGGACCGCTGAGTGCTTGCCTGTTCGGGTATCTCTGGCTCATCCCTGGAAGGGGGCCCTGGGGGACAAGATTCCACAAAGCAGTGGTGGTGCTGATGCAACTGTGCGCACGCCAGTGGGATTCGGCAATGTCCCTGCCCTATCACCCCAAGAGAGGGAGGTGCCTCCCTGAGATGCCGGAGAAGCCTGGAGAACTCACATACTAAGCAAGGGCGGTAGGTGTGTAAATGTCACACGCACCATGGCGTGTTAGAGGAACCGCGCATCGGGAGTTTGCAAACACGCCGTCACGTGGTCCTGAGCTGTGAATGCACGCCCACGCTAGCTGTGCCGAGATCCGGATCTGGCACCCGTGATGAAGATGCTGCCCGTCTCCAGGGGAGCGTCTGTGCCCAGCCCCAGGGATCTCCAGCGGCCCCTGGGCAGCACACCGCCGCCTCCGGAGGTTAGGCTGTCTCTGGGAAGCAGCACACCCAAGGCGTCCCAGCAGCCTGCCAGCTCTCAAACAGCTTTGCGGTGAGGAGTAATGATCTTGCCTGCAGGTCCAGGAGCTCCCTGATCTGGTGAGACTGGCTTTTTATTCCTGCCAAGAACCTGGCCCAAAGCAGCAGCTCAGGGCCACCCGCTGGGCGGTTTGGAGGGGAGGGTCCTCCAGCTTTCATTCCTGGGCCCCAACCAGGAAGCGATGTTCCTGAGTGTGAACACCATGCTTAAATCTGTCTCTGACCTTGACTAAATCGGCTCGACATTCTGTGCCTCGGTTGCCCCTACTGTCAAATGGATAAATGCACCCCTCCCCCTCCACTTGTCCCAGGTCACTTCTCCTGCCCATGTTCGAACGTGTCCCTGCTCCCTCCCTCACGTCCATGCTTTGCTTCCTACCTGATCTTGACGGCTTAGAGCCCTGGCCACTCCAGCCCATTATGGCCTCTCCTGTCTCTGGATTCTTAGATTGAATGTCTGAAAAACTTGCTGACACCCAAATCCTTATCACTAACTATTGTTGTTGAAAATCTTTTATACCCGCGTGTCCTGTCTCTGCAACAGGATTTAAGGCTCGTTAAGAGCCAGGACCACAACTTCAACTTAGCTGGTGACTCCCCAGGTCAGGCAAGATGTCAACAATCAGCATCTACTTGCCAGCAGGGGGTCAGAGCTCCTAAAATGCTGGCATCCTTTGAAAATGCAAAAGCAGGAGCAGAGAGCCCAAGTGCAAGGAGGGGCTGGTCCTTGGCTACACCAATGTGCAATTCCCAGGGCCCCGGGTTGAGAAAGGCAAGGCAGAGGAAGATGGCTAAGATGGCGGGAGACTGGACTCTCCGTCATGCCAAGAATGGCTGAAGACCCGGAGACCTCAGGTTAGACAACACCAGGGCGGCAGAGAGAGCAACAGTCACCTTCTCAGCATCTGCCAGGGGGTCTCACCCCCTTCTAGGCAATGAACCTCTTGAGGTCACCTTCACTGGCGATGCCCATCAGCACACACGTGGTCCACACCCAGTGTCCCAGTGTCCCCCCACAGACACAGGCTCCATCCCTCATTGTGGGACCCCAGACACCCGTGTCCCACAAGCTTCTCTCTCTTTATCTAAGTCTCAGGACTATCGGCACCAGAAAGCTTTCACTCAGGTTGGTGAGAATCAGTTGCTCCCCTCAGCTTGCCCACTTAGTGAAAGAAGACAAATATTTGAGAAATTTCTGATGTGTGTTGCTCAGCAAAGAGGAAGTTCTGTTACAGCTTTCAGGTAAACATCAGGAGCACAAGCTCAGGGGTTGTTAAACATGTATCACTGGTGACGGGAAATTAACCAGAAGGGTCTAAAGGTGCCTGGGCTCGAGACCCCTGAAGGCTGAGACTGGCACATAGCGTTCTGGGGGCTCCACTTCGAGCTGGCTGTGTGACCTGGCATGTGCAGCCTCGCTTTCCCAAGCCTCCACTTCCCCATCTGTAAAATGGGGTTAGGGTCCCACGGAATTCATGGAGTGGTCGTGAGAATTCCATGAGGTCCCACGCCGGCAGTGTGTCTAATGCAGTCGTGGCATGGAGGACGGGGCTCAGTGGTAACTGTTTTTATTGTTACTATATCCTCATTAATAATCAACATTTCTAGATTACTTCCCTGAAATGCAAGCCTTTCATCATGAAAATGGTGATGGCACGGCTGACATCATAAGGCTGTCTGAACCTCTGTCTGAAGATTAAATTACGTGCGATAACAGATGTACATCTAGGCAGAACAGTGCCTGGCACAAAACAGATGCTCAGATAAGTAACAGCTATTATTATTCTGATCTGACACACTAACCCGGGGCCGAGGGTGACTATGGCTCTGTAAATATTAGCTGAATAATGAACGCATGAGTAAGAGAGAAAGAAATGGTTCCGAGCAGGCAGGCTCGCAAAACGAGCAGCAGCTCGCTGGCTACCAGCTGGCCATCGGATGGAACTGACCGGTCTGGAGGGGACGCCCACGCCTGGCTGGCCCCGTCTCAGTTTGTAGCGAGGGCCTGAGCCGCAGATGCCTCCCTCTCTGTGAGGAGGCGGTGAGCCCTTTTTTTCCTGGAAAAATAATGAATGGCTTTTCTAACTCCCTGACAGAGGCGAGAATGTGCAGAAAAGAAAGGACTTCCCAGGGATGTGCTGGGACACATTCCGAGGCGGATTTATTACTTTCGGCTGAAACGGAGGCGATGCATTATTGTCTGTGACTCCACATCTGTTCATTTGCACATCAAAATGGACATGCCGTGAGGCTATTAACGATGGCTTTGGAGATATTGGAATGTCTTTGGAAATTACTATCAATAAAAAACAAACTGGCTATGGAGAAGTTACTATTTTTCCCCCAGTAAACTTACTGACATTTTATTCCATTATGGATGTTGTCCAAGGTATAATGAAATGCTCTGTGATTGATGGGGCCTCCTGCAGCTTCCGAGGCTCACAGGATCCCCTTGCAGGAGGATGGCGGGCTGCCCGGGCCGCAAAGAGACGCTGTCTTTGTCTGCGGCCCCAGCAGCTGTCCCGAGGGCCAGCCTGCGGGCTCCTCTCCACCAGGGAGGCCCACCTGGCTGTGCAGGGCCCACGGAAAGAGGAGAAGGGGGCTCCCAGAGGGTTTTCAGGTCACTGCCACCTCTCCCTGCTTTCTCTGAAGATCCCCAGCCACGTGACACCACGGCCTCTCCCAGAGTGCAAGTTCTACCTCCAGTCCTGGGAGATGTTCAATATATCCAGTGACCTATGGGGTAGGGGACAGTGACCCATCAGAACTGTCACCATTTTATACCAGAACTTGGTTTTCCTGCGGGAACAGGCATTAACCCTTCACTGACTAGGTCTGGGGATCACCGGAGAGGGTCAGCTAGAGTGAAGAATTCAGCTCGGGGGCTCAGGGCAGGAGCTGTTTCATTATTTTAATGAGAAAGAACACACTGGTGTTGAATGGGTGACTTATCTGTCCTGTTCACATCTCACTGTCATCTCTTCAGTTTTCATCATAGCTCCTTCCATAGATTCTGTAAGTGATGACTCAAGTAAAGGGGTGCCCACTGGTTTCTCTGGATGTACAGACTCTACATCTACAGCTAAAACCAGGTCACCCTGAATCCTCACATCTGCTGGCCAGTCACCCCAAAGCCAGATTACAAAGAACCTGTCACCTCTAATGGTCCCAAAGCTCCCTGCACATGTCTCTAATACGCCTCAGTCACACTGTGCGGGAATCATCTGGGTGCACATCTGATTCTGCCACCAGACTGAACTCCTCTAGTGCACAGTGAAGAGCACACATGGAGACTCATCCGTGGGGCCTCAATAGGTGTGGATTGAGAGCAATAAAGAGAAAATCGCAGCTAATTTGCCCATGGTCACAGAACCAATAATTGGCAATAGCAAGAGAGAAACCTAGGTCAGTTTTCAAAACTTGTGCTCTTTCCATGCCTTCTTTTCAAGAAATCCATGACAACTTTGGTCAGTCATTTACACTTTAGTCTAAATGAGTTCCACTGGCATTGCCTGCATAGAGACCCAACTTCTTGGTGTGCAGTCTACAGCGATCATACCTATGTGAAATGAGCTGTAGAACCAGTTCCTGAATTCTCTCTCATTCTTATATGGAAGCCTTGCTGAGGAATCCCATATAGGGCTCTGACCTAGAGGATTTCAGATGAAACTTCCTTCCATGGAAGTTTCTTTCTTGTTGAAGGCACAGTCCTCCAGTCTTCATTGTACTGGGCTTCCAGAGTTATTCTCCTAAGGCTCTTGCCTCTTCTGCTCCTATATCCTGCCACTGAGGACTCTCAGCTCCAACCACACTTCTTACAGTCAAGAGAGCAGTTTCCCTGTTATTGGTGATACAGAACCAAATGGGGTGGTGACAGGGATGTTGAGACACTGACTGAGATCAGTCAGCACCCCACAGTGGCCATGACACTCCCTGGATGCTCAGCAGATCCAGGCTAGGTTACTGGGCCCTGCACAGTCTGGATAACTCTGTGTAAGGAGCCAGGTTCTCCCCATGATGGAGCCCCAGCAGCGTGACTCTGGCAATCCTGGTTAGTGCCCTGCCCACATCTCCCAGGCCTTGCTGCCTCTAGGCTGCACCCTGAGATGCATGCTCCACACTTGCTCCACGTCCCCACCAGCTCCGTCATGTACCCTCTCCTGACCACCTTCTCTTCCTTGTCTCACCTCCCACTCCCTACCTGTGTTCCTGGGATCACATCCTAAACAAACCACGTCCATCTGAATCCTGGTTTCAGGGTTTGCTTCCAGGGAACCCCAACTAAGAGAATGACCTTGGGAGAATTTACTTAACACCTCCACGCCTCGGCTTCTTCACCTGTAAAACTGAGCTACAGTAATAACAGCACGTGTAAATACTGCACTGACATGCACGAGGTCACTGCTGTACCAGTTAGCTGTTGCTATTACACAGTAACAGCTGCCGGTTCCTGAGTGCCAACGAACACACGAGGCCTTCCAGCCCAGTGGTCCTCAGCTTGGGCACGCATCAGAGCCACCTGGAGACCTCTGGCCCCTGCTCCAGAGCTGGGGACTTGGTAACTGTGAGAGGACCCGAGAATGTGCACTTGTAACGAGCTCCCAGGTGGTGCTAGGTGGCTGGTCTGGGTCCCCACTTTTTGAAACACCACTCTATATTATCGCACTGAATCTTCACCCCAACCTTGGGGAAGGAATCTCTATCTCCGTTTCCAAGGGACCCAGAGAAGTTCAGCAACATGTCCAAGGTCACCCAAGAAGCTTGGGAATGAGCCAGGATCCAGCCGAGGTCCATCTCAGCTCTAAGATGCTCGCACATCTCAGCCTCAAGCCATGCGTATGTCCAGCTGGCAAGTGAGCAAAACTCCAAAGGGCGACCCCTCCCAGGCCCTTCCTGTCTGCAGCAGAGCAGCGGGATGAAACAGTGAATGAAGGCGACGGGCCTGCAGTGCCTACTTCTCAGGCTGCTGCCAGGGCTAGGGAGAGGGGACACCAGTCCTGTGTCTCCAAACGGGGCTCCTAGGAGTAGCTCCCATACATGCAAGGAGACCCAGGGCTGAGCACCTACCTCGGCTGCTGGCGGCTGGCCTGGGGGCCTCAGGGCCCAGGGCGGGCGGCCCCTGGGGGTCCCCCATGAAGTGATGGAACCAGTGGCGCCGCAGCTGGCGCAGCTCCGAGTTGCGGCTGCGGAGCCAGCGGGGGCCGGGCCGGGGCCGGTCCAGGGGGCCCTGCAGCACGTCCACGCTGAGCAGCAGCTCCGGGCTGACCCGGGGGTCATGCAGGGCTCGGCTGTCCAGCAGGCCCACGCCCAGCGCCACGGCGGCCACAGGCAAGGCCTGCAGGGGGCCAGGCGCCCGGGGGCCTGGCGGCGGGAGGCCCACGCGGGCCCGCTGCAGAAGCAACAGGCTGCCAGTCATCAGGTAGGCGGCCGTGAGGAAGAAGAGCAGGAACTGCGTTCGGCGGAGAAACTTCTGGAGCCGAAAGAAAGGTTTGGCCATGCCCCTGGGCAGCGGGGCTCCCGGCTGGAGCCCGGGACGGCTCCTAGTACCCAGGCGGGAGGGAGGCCGGGGCCTCCAGAGGCGTCATCCCCGCATCCTGGCACCGGCTGGCACTCCCCTGGGGCTACTGTTCCTCCTGCCCTGTTTCCAGCAGGTGCTCAAATGGCATCACCACTCATCTCCGCCCCTGGACCTGGCAGCTGCAGCTTTTGCCCAGGGGTCAAGAACCTCGCCATCCCTGAGCTCTAGCGGCCCTCATCTCCTGGCTCAGAAATCTGGAAAAGAAGAGAAAAAGCACTTAGATGCAATAGGAGGGTCCACCACTCCCACTGCTCCAGGGTCAGGAGCCCTGCACTCCTGTGCTCTGTTTAACAAAAGGGCCAGCTGTGTTGCCGGAGCACTGGACAGAGAGCTGCGTTCAAATCCCAGCTCTGCCACTGGACAGCTGTGTGACATCAGGTGGGTTACTTAACCTTTCTGGGCCTCAGTTTCCTCACCTATAAAATGAGATTAACACTATCCTGGAGCAGGAGTGAAGATCCAATAATGACAGCAGTAAGGGGGAGGAACAACAGTGGCTTTGTACTGAATCCTAGCTACGTGTCAGGCGCTGAGCTAAACACTTTCTGTATCGTCCAGTTCAATCCTCACACCAATCCAGCAAGGTAGATACTCTGTTCTCCCCCTTTTACAGATGAGGAAACTGTGGCAAAAGGAGCCAAAGTCACATTTCCAAAGTCACACAGCTGGCGAGCAGAGGAGCCAAAGGTTGGCACAGTCTGCCTCCAGAGCCTGTACTCTGGACCCCTACACGGCCTAGCCTATAATAAGACCCCTACCACCTACGAGGGCGCCCAGCCCAGGGCCTGAGTCTACCGCAGATGCTTGATACATGCGTGCCAACTGCTGACTCCCGGGGTGCATCAGGACTGCTAGCTGTCTTTTGGAAATGGTTCTGCAGGGATGGGTGGGTTTTGACACAGGAGAGGGCACAGGGGAGGGGGTGGGCTTGCACAGCCACCCAGGCTTCCTGAAGGTGGCAGGTCAGAGCCAAAGGAACAGGAGACCACCTGGCCGTGCACATGCCAAAGGAGGCGGGGCCCCCGCTGTGGCCAAGGTGGGGGCAGGGGAAGCTCTCGGAGCAGCTTTGCAGGGGCGCCTCGGCTCCCCAGGACTCAGCTCTCACACTGGGCTTTGGTTTCCACTGGCGGCGCCTCTGAAGCGCACTGTTGGGGGTTGGCAGAGGGGTCTGCAGCTGCCCTGAGCCGGGCAGCTGGGCGAGGACAGCCTTTAACACAAGGACAGGCTTGTCCCAGGAAGAAAGGCTCCGAGGAGCGTGACTAAGCCCCTGCCTGTGACTACCGTGGCCCGGGACCCCCGCCAGGCCCGCACAGTTCCTCAATGGCTGCTCTGTGCCCTGGGGACAGCGGCCGGGTGTGAGAGGAAAGACAACGTTTGGGCTCTTGTGGCCTGGCATTCCAGGCTCAGTGTCGGGGGGCCAGATCAGCCTGACCCTCTCAGACGGAACACCGAGAGCGGCCAGGTCCTGGGGCTTCCGGGCAGGATCTGGGAAGGTGGGGTCAGCGGGTCCTTGAGGCTGGGGGTGGGGTGGCAGGCTTGGGCATTAGCAAAGGAAGGTGGAGTTAAACTCAGAGTCCGGGAGCCATTTCAGACGGGTCTCCAGAGCTTTTATTTTGTCTCTAAGCTGCTGCGTGCCAGGCCCACCCCCGCCAGCCTCGTCAGATTTGTAAAACTGCAGAGAAAATCCTAAGAAATCCTGACTGATCTCCCTGCCTCTTGCTTTGACCCCTCCAATCCATCCTCCACGGGGCTGCCAGGGTGATCCTCCTAACACGCAAATCTGATCACGGCGCCCCCCTGCTTAAAACCCCTTTCAATAGCTCCCTGTGGCTTTGGGGATAAAACGCCAAGCTCCTTAGCGTGACATACGAGGCCCCCTTCCTGATCCAGCCTGTCCAACTCATCTCTTGCCAGGCCCTTTCCTTCCGCTGTCCCATCCCATGTGCGCATGTGCGTACACGTACGTACCCCCCCCAACCACACACACACACGCACGCACCCCACGGTTCAGCGGAGCTATCACAGCACATCTGCCCTGGTGCTTTTGGACACACTGCATTCGATGTATGTTCCTCCCTCTCCACCTGGTGAATCGCCTGTGTATCCTCCAAGGCTCAGCCCAGGTGTCACTTCCTCCGAGAAGCTTTCCCTGACCATCATCCACCCCGCCATCCCGGCATTCACTATCCTGGGGCAATTTTAATTGTTCCTGTACTTGTCAGTCATCCTCACAGGACTGTGACTGACTCAAGGCTAGAGGCCATAATACCCTATTCATTTTGCTAACCCCAGCCCCCTGCGTGAGCCCCAGCAGCTTAGATGCTCAGCCACTCTGTTTCTGAATAAATTTTTTTTAATGAATGGGAAGATAAATTGATAGGCGAATCCTGATATCAGAAACCTGCTTCTGTAGGGGTCTTAGGGCCATGAAATCTCAAATTGCACTTATCCAGAACCGCAGGGGCCTCTCCAGAACCATGGGAGACTCGGAGGGTACGTGAGCACAAAGGACCCAGCATCACCAGTTCGGGTCTCACAGACGCATGGAAGTTAACACGGGCGCCCGAGCTTCGTGTGTAATCCTTCCTGTGTTGTAATTCTAGGAAGAGAGGTTTCCAGATCTGTTTGAAAAGGCCTCTGGTTACAAGACTGGGATTCTATCAGTGAAAAATCCTGTAAAACTAAAATAAGAGGGGAGCGAGGACTCCTGCTGTGGAAAGAAAGGTTCTGATGAGATGGAGCCAAAAGGCGGGCAATAGATCAACCGTTCAGAATTTTGAAGGCAAGACGTGGCCCAAATTCCGCACACATTTTGTACACTGGGTCTGGGAACATGCTACAGGAGGGGAGGGTGCAGTGGGGTGCAGCATTATCAGGGCTGATCATTATGGATTTGAGTGATCACACCCAGGTTCCCCACGACCCCCCAAGGTCCTCTTTAGAATCTCCCCTTCCCAGAGGGGCCTCCCCTGGTCTGGGGAGGTGGGCACTGGGCATGGAGACAGGGGACAGGGGACAGCTACTTTCAGGCCAGAGCTCAGTGACCCTGACCTCCTATTAGGCAGGCTGCCACTCCGAACCTTTAAAATCACAGAGCTGACTCCCAGCCTAGAGCATCTGCTGTGGCCTGGGCAGGGTACCTGCACACTCAAAGCATTAGGGACCTGTCCCTCGGCGCACACTTCCGCCACACTTCCCACCCATATTACACTTGCCACCTGTCCCCCATTCCTGCCATGCTGACCTCTTCCCCGGGGTACAGATCACACCCGATTCACCTCCACATCCCCAGATCCTAGCACACAGCCAGCACGGCAAGGCCCGTAAATGTTTGTTGAGTGGCTGAACCCGAAAGCAGCCTCGGGGTGGGCTGAGCCACGTGCAGCATCTGCACAAGGGCTCACAGTCAAGCCACGAGGCAGCTGGACAGCAGAACCGGACAACACCTGGGGGGATACCTAACCACTGTCCATCAGCTGAGCCCGCTGCACCCCCAAGCCGGGAGGCCCTCAGTTATAGCAAATCCACCTTGAGCAAGTCACTCCACAGGGCAGAGCCTCGGGCCCTCATCTGTTAAATGAGGGCAGATCAGCATTGTTGTGGGATTGGATCAGAGCAAACCTGCTGTTACCTACAGACCGTGGCTCATGAAAGCAAAAGAGGCAAACACAGAAACGCTGGAGGAGAGGCTCGCGGCAGCTGTGCCGTGGGGGACACCTGCCACCCTCACCTCCTCTTAGTCCCCAACCCCCTGGGGTGGGCCCAGTGTCCCATTCTTCCTTGAGGCTGCTCCCATGCTAAGAGAGCTGTTAGCAACTGTTTGATTTTGCAGTGCCACCACTTCCGAAGCACTTGCAGCGTCAATCAATAGGCTACACTGGGCTGTGTGTTTTACCTGCACCATCTCGTTTACTCCATATCTCCCAGCGACGCAGATCCCCTGATTACCCCCACCGGAGAACCCAAGTCTCTAATGCTCAGCTGGGTGGAACATCTTGGCCAAGGCCACCAGTGGCCACTGGGGTTCAGTCAGGTGACTCTATGGTCCCACCATCCCTGGCCAGACAGGACAGGCAGTGGCAGGTGAGGGGAGAAAAATTCCAGCCACCCTAGAAGCGTCTCAGCCACTGTGACCACTGCAGTGAGGGCTGCAATCCTCTGGGGATCCAGAGTGGTGTGCTCTTAGCAGGGTGAGAGCCCTGAAGACGAGGAACAGGGACCAATGTGTTGATCCCCCGACCGGGAGATGCTAGACTCGTGGTCCAGCAGCCCGGAGCCCCAGCCTCCATGACCAGCAGCCAGGGTAGGAGGGATGTCTCAGCCTTGGGACCTCAGCAAAGCCACACCAGGGAGCCTCCAGCTGGGCTCAGGGCTCTCAATCACCCCTCCCCTATCTCTTCTCACTCTCCACCCCTGCCTCTGCCTGGCTCAGCCTCAGCACCTGACATCTGGACCCTGCCTCCTCTCAGAGACCCAGAGGCTGCCTGCTCCCAGCAGCCTAACAAAGAGATCTTTCTAACACCAAGAACTAGCAATGCTACAGCCTGCAATGGCTCCCCAGGACTCAGATGACCAAGTTCAAGTGCCTCAGCCTGGCATTTGGTGGCCCTTCCTAGTTCAGGCTCCCAGCAACTTCCTTTCAATATTCCTTCCAGAACTTTGTGCCCCAAACAGAGCACTGTCCCCTGGCCAGCAGTTGATGTTTCATGCCCAGCCCCCCAAGCACACACATACTCTTCCACTGGCCAGGGATGCTTGGGCCCCATCCTGATGTTCTGAAATGCTTTGTGACCACCAAGGCTCAACTCCAATACCATGCCTTTCACAAAGCCTTCCTGATTCCCAGAGCAGAGCTACTTTACCATGCTCAACGGTGAGGCTAGATGCTCTGGGTAACTTGTCCTGCCTTGGGTCAGGGCTCCTAGCTACTCTGCCCACCTCTCCTCCCAGCCTGTGAGCCCCTCACAGACATAGTCAGTCCTCTGTCCACCTCTGGGTGGGGCACAGGGCAGACCCCAGAAATCTGTGCCCATTGGCCACCCTCCAGTGCTCAGGGCCATGCCGCCCTCACCCCAGGGTCCCACGCCTCCGGATCTTGGAAGCTCAGAAAGAGAGCAAAGGACCCACTAAACATACGTCTTCTGGGCCCTGGAGTGGGAAAAGGTCCAGGAAATGGGAAGAGGGTGGAGTCCCTGCCTTGGAGGAGGCAAATCTTTGGATCTGGACTTAAGAACTTAAGAGAAAAGGTCCAAAATAAGAAGTGTTGCAAAAAGGTATAAAGGTTGAAACTCCAATGCAAACGGTGGGGGGCTGGGGGGAAGAATCCTCCAGCAAACCCAATGCTGCAGTTCATATAAGTAAAATAAATCTTTAGGTACCTACATTAGAGACTACAAGGTACTTTCACACCCTCTCAAGTGCGCAGAATGAATCAACAGATCACCAAGTGAATGAGTGATCTTCCCATAAACTTGTGAAGTCAAACTCATTACCATCTCCATCATGGAGATGCAGAATTTGAGACAGACAGAAGGCAAGTTAACCTGATCAAAGACAAGCAGCTCTGGTTAGACTGAACTCAAGTTTTCGGACAGGTTGGTGGCATCATCTACTGTATCACATGGCCCTCATTTGTTCAACTCCAGGGATGGCAGTTCTTCCAGGCACCACGCTAGGGGCCGAGGATGCAAAGAGAGACAGAACACTACCACGGGGGCTGGCATGTCCCCTTTTAAGTTGGTTGATCTGGAGCCCAACCCACTCTTGCAACAGCAAGACACAGGCTCTCCTAGGCGATCTCTGGGCCACCTCTTTAATAGAACCCAATTTTGTTCATGTGTTCATATGTTTCTCCCACTGAGTGGCAAACTCTTGAGGGCTGTCCAAGCCCTGCTGAATGATTTGGATAAATCTGGGCAAGTGGGTGGAGCACCCAGCTGAAGCCAGCCTTGCCCCACTCTGGCTCTAGGCCCACTGTGCCTGCATCACTGGGATGCGGGACTTATGCTGTGGGAGGGGGCCCAAGACACCTTGGGGCTTCTTGTCCTCAGAACCCTCCTGGCCCCCTCAGGAGTTTCTAGCAGCAAGAAAAGAGAATCAAAGTGGAGGAGAGAGGCCTGAACAGCTACTGAGAGGCACACGGTATTTTATGGCTTCCAAAATGAATCCAGTCCACCCTTCCAACTACTCTCATGTCCACACTGGGAGACAGAGTTCCTCCCTAATTATGTTCTCCAAAAGCGCCACCCTGCTGACAGCCTTCCAGGTGATATGCCAAATGCTGATTCTTAAAGCCACAATGAAGAGAGATCAGAAGCAGCAGCGTGAAAACAAGACCACGAGGCCCAGGGAGATGGGAGCCAAGGCCACGTTGAAGCACTCACTCCCCAGGTGAGCAAGGCCTACCTCCAGCCCCACTCTGCCCCTGCTAGGGGGACGATCATCACTCACATCTTATGGAGAAAGACCCTGAAGGTCTAAACACAGATCTGCCCCAGAGTCCTTTGCCCGGACCTCAGCATAGCTCGAGGGAGAGTCTAGGGGACTGGTCTCACCCTGGCTGACCAGGGTCTGAGCCGGATGGGAGCACAAGCCAGGAGGGTCTGTAGAGAGAAACATGTCTCCTCGAGAGGCGCTGCTCAGACACGGCTCGATTCTGGCCTGGAGGCTCAGGCTGTAGCAGCTGACCAACTGGTGGTCCACAGCGTTCACTTCTGCCTGGTTAGGCAAACAGGAGGGAAGGGGAGGGGGTCTGGCCTTTTGCCTAATCCAGGCGTCTCTTTGCTTCCAGCCAGACAGGCTGTAGGCCACAGGACAGCACCCCATAGGGCTCCAATGCCCACTGAAATAAGAGATCTGTTCCCCCACAAAATAGACATCCCTCCGAGGAGCTGGGGAAGTGTCCTGCTGAAGACAGGAGGATGCAGCTGTAGGAGAGGGCCAGGGGCTTCTCCCAGGGAAGATAAGGGCTGCCATGGTCAGCCCACCAGCCTGGCTGCCTGCCAAGCTTCCTCTAGCCAGCATGCAGGGGAGACCAACACTGCTGTTCCTCCCCCTAGAACCACTGGACTCTGGTGGCCCACTGGAGCATCTTCTCCAAGGGACTTCCAAGGCCAGAGCTAAGTATGTGGGGCGGGTGTGGGGATGCGAGGGGAATCCTTGTGAGAAACCTTCCCTATGCCCTCTCTCCACCTTTTGCCACCGTCAGGTAGGGGCTGCTGCAGACAGAGCAGAGCCAGCCAGCTTTCTGCCTCCTGTATTCCATTCGCCACCAGCCCTCACTTCCTGTGCCTGACAACCTAGGCAACTCAGAGGAGAAAAAGAAAAGGCCCCCAGCTCCCGACCGCAACCACGGTGTCCCAACATGGGATCGCCCAGGTACTCCAGAAACTGAATGACGCTGTTCCAGCGACAAGAGGGATAACAGCCTCTAATGTTTGTTGGAAAAGTACAGTGGAGTTCTGAGTCTGTACATCTTGGGAGCAGTTGGGGACCAGGTGAGTGCTGGGAGGCGCTGGATCCCAGGGCAGGCTTCGGGGGCTGGAACCCTTTACATCCAGACTTCCCGCTGCTCAGAGAAGGGACAGGAGTCTTCCTCTCCGCCCCTGCCTCCCCACGGGCCAGCCAGCCCTAAGCAGGCACCATCCGCGGGCACAGATGCTCAGGAAAACAGACATCCGAGAGAGGTTATCCTGAGGCAGAGGACCCCCCAAAAGGCTTCGCAGGAGAAAGGAAAAACGCAATTAGCAGCCTCCAGTCGCGAGTCTCAGTCTACACCTAGGAAGATGCAAAGCTCTACTTGGCGTAATTTTCCGGACAAAATACGTACGTTTCGCCTTTGCCCGTGCCTCCGTTCAAGTTCACCAAGAAACGGAGAAAACCCTGCGCTGACCGGAAGCCTGGCGGTGGCGGAACGAGAGAGAGCTGCTGCTGGGTAAACGTCTCCTCTTAAGAGAGGCAGTGCGCACCCCAAATCCTGTCCTCGCCCCCTCCCCGGGCCCGGACCCGCGGCTCCCTCCGGGGAAACGGACGGTCTTTGCGGATTCCGGGAGGGGGACGCGGCTTGGAAAACTGCCTGGAGCACCCCCGCCCCATCCCGCTCGTGCCGGAGCGCTCACCCCCAC